TTTTCTTTGTTTGCTTGCTCTTGGTCTCTGTGCAAGCTACTGTGCAAGTACACCTTCACCCAGCCTTGTATCTTCCTAATTCTGAGCCTGAGCCTGATCTGCTGACCTGACTTTTTGGCTTGCCTTTGGACCTGCCTCATCACTACCAACTTTGCCTGGCAATCTGAACTGTTTGGACTGGATCTGCTCTGCTGCCACACAGGTGCTGTGGGACTGCAAACTTTGTTGGTAGGACCCTGCTCCTGCCTGCTTTGCTGTGAGTCTGAACTCCCAGCTTCCCTTCCCTTCCCTTGCTGCTCCCTGACACATATCAAATCTTTTTCATTAGGACTTGGAGTCTGTCGACTGATTTATCCCACAGAAACTATCTTTTCAAATTGGGTCTGGGCTGCTGAGGAAAGGTACTGTGCCTCAGTGCTCTTATCTTGAATTACTACATTTTCTTTCACACCCTATTTTATTCACATCTTGATTTTAACAGTCAGTTTTATTTCTTGAATAGTATTGTAGGTATAATTCTGAACATATTAATAAGCTACTGAAGTCTTAGAACATCTGCAAATCTTTATTTGCAAAGATGTTTGTGATGATATGTCAGATTTAATATTTTTTAGCTGTTGTTTTTTTCTCTTTCATTATTTGGGGGAACTAATGCTGTTTTAAAGGATATTGACTTCTGCTTCTTAAAGCTATTCATCTGAAGTCAATTTGCAACGCAATGCAGGAATAATTTCAAAATCAGTTAACTGTGAGCTCAGACATGCCCCAGAGTTTGGTCGCATGGAGGTTTTTTCCACAGGAATCTGGTCTCTAAGTGCAATTAGCTGTCTGTGATACTGTTTCCTTCAATACAAGGCCAATGGCGTAGTGAATTGAACAGGGAAAGAGGCAATAACCTAGTCGTAGCATGATTCTTGGTCTATGCTAATATGGATAACTAAAGAAATATCATCTAGGGAGAATCTATTTTGCATTTCCACAGTGCCACCTACCTTTTCATCCTGTGCTTTCCCCATACACAGGTCTCCATACAAAATACGTATACCATACTCTCTAAGGAGAAAGCAGAGTCCCTGGCAAGTCCCTGACAGTGTAGTTCTAACAGAGCTGTGCTGGTGCTTTTGCAAGTTTGAGAGATGTCATAAAACTGACTCATAAATAGGATCTTTGTGTTGACTGTACAAACATGATCGTGCTTTCAGCATGACCTCTTGGAATCCAGGCAAATCCAGAGGAATTTTTGTTAACACTATTACTTTAATGAAAACTCAGAGGAATACTCAGTCTTAGAGATTATTATAACTTCAAACCATATCTTAGAAGTGTTTATTTTCCTTCTTTGGTAGTGAATTACAGATATTTTTAAGCTCCATTAAATTCTTTTCCCTAGCTTTTACCCTCATTTTTCCATCTCTACCCTCTTCTCAATACCACACTGAGGCTTGGCCCGGCAGTCATTAATAAATAATAATTTTTTATTTTGGGTCTGATTATAGCTTTTCTCCCAGTCCTCAAACATATCACTGAAAACATAATAGAGTGCTATGTGCTTAAACCCTTGATTTTCGTGTCTAAAATCTGTACAACAGTTATTTGGACATTGAACAGAATAATTTGAATTTATGCAAAATAAGATGCCTGTATACATTTTGAAACAATTAAATGTTAGTCCAGAATGATATGATGCAAAATACCTGTATGCTTTCCAAAACTTACTTTTTCACTTTTTTTTCCCTTGGAATATAATGTGTGATTTTATATCATTAAAATAAAGGATGAATCATTCAACAGTAGGATGGCATTTAAATAATATGCAGAGGAAAAATAATTCTTATAAGTACAATGAAATAGAATAATAATTGCACAGTAGCGCTTGTATTGCCTACACTACACAGGGGTTTGGTCATCTACTCTGAACATTAAATTCTTAATGCAACTGGAAAATTTAAACTGTAATATACATGCATTTACTCTTTCCTCACAGTGTCAATTAATCCCATACCATGTGACCCAGTTTCTTAAAATCTCTTTCTTTTGGCACAACTACAATAAAAATCACATTATAAACTATTTACATTACACATGTTGATACAACGATATTGATACATTACATATGTTGATACAAAACAGCTCGTTAAACTACCTTCAAAAAGGAAAGATTTGCTATGAACCTGTGAGCACCTGTGAAGTGTGCCATTATTGTGGGGCACTGCACACTACTGTTTTAACTTTGTGGTTATAAATCCCTTCCATGTAATCCCCAAACTCTCTTTGGAGAACCACTTTTCAAATTCAAGTTTCCTTTTTTATCTTTGTCAAGGAACGATGTGATCATTAAAATAGTCTGGCATTGTCATGTTATGTGCCATAGTCTGTTTATTGTGATACAGAGCTAGAATGTTTGTTGATAACAAGCATGGCCAACTCTGCCTCAGCAGTGAATACATGACGACATTGAAGTCTGCTTCTTTACATGTCTGATTTTTCTTTTTAAGTTTCCCCCTCGCCTTTAAACAGAGGATTCAAGTTTATTTTAGCCTGCTATCACCACACTTCCAGAACTATGTATTAAAAGAATGCTTGCATTGCTATCATAACGTTAGCTAGAAAAAGTGTGCTGGGCAGAAAGTAGAAAAAGCCGTATGAACCTCAGCCTTCTACTCAGGTCATAATGTATGGATATGTTGCTATCTTTCGTAATACAAATCCTGGACTGCCAGGGGTACAGCAAACGCTTTCCCTCTTGAGAGGAATTCTGTAGACCATAGCCTCTGTTCACCCAGCTATCATTTCTCCTGTTTCTGTATAAGACTTCTATGACCTAATGCAATCCCTCACTTTCCTTTTACTGAAAAAAAATTATAGTAATAAGTAAGTCTACACATTCCCAACTCAGATCGTCTTCCGTAACTTTTACGTATAGTCAGTTTGCACCCGAAGAATTTTCAGGATCGTTAATGTTACATTTCCTGCTAAAAACAGTGATAAAATTCGCAGATCAAATAGGGGAACCCTAACTGTGAACAGGTGAAGGAAATGCACAGCCTTCAGCTCGCAAAATGCGAAATCAAATTCGAGGCAGTGCAATGTTACGAAGTCATTTGCGAAGCATGGACCCCACGCATTCAGTTTCCGTGGCCACAGCCCGGCTGCCGAAGGTAGCCGGGCGTTAGTGGTGAGGAAAGGCAGTGACCGCGGCCACTCCTTGCGCGAGTCCCGGGCATTTCAGCCGCCCGAGAAAACCGGCGGGGGGACCTTTGCTTCCCCAAAGAAAACAACTCACCTGAGCAGTACGGCGGCTTCCCACAGAAAAAATCCCGAGACAGCCGCGCGGAGCCATGGAGCCATGGAGCAGCGGGCCATGCTGCTCGGAGGCGCCGCGGAGCCCTGGAGCG